CATCAGTTTAGAGATCACTTTCCTAACCTTAGCCTCCTTAGGGTAGGAGGCTTCTAGCTGATGGGTGGATCCATCACAGGGTTTGCAATACTACTTGCATCTAAACTAACTGCAAGAGAATCAATCTGATGCAGATGCTCAAAATACTCAGCCCAATGTTCAAGCCCCAGCATGATTTGAGATAATCCGTCTATCCATCAAATTGGCTTGGTAGGCAGGACGAAGTTCATTTACTAAGAAACAGTTTCTGATGTACTGTACCTTTCCCTTTCTCAGCAGTGTCCAAGTCCTATGCATCAAGAAATGGAAAATACATCTAAATACACATTTTTTGTTTTAAGTGATAAAAAAAAAAAAAAAAAATATTCATACACAAGGAGGCACTGTGATAATGTTCTCAATTTTGTACTCTACTGACACTCATTGTATTTGAGATATGGCATTGAAATATACATTTCCTGTTACATAAAATGGACAACATCAACACTTCCTAGAAAATAATCAATATTCTTTATAAAACCACCAAGGATGGCACATACATTTATGCTATATTTACTGTGATCTTATTTTATATATTGTAGACACATAGATGTCTACACAAATACTTAGTCACCAAAGAGTCAATTACTAGTATTACCTGTCTAAACTGCTTACTAATATACTTAATTTTTGCTTATTTTCTATCACAACCAGTAGTAGACTGGGGGCATGCAACACTTGAGTGCCATGACAAGACTCTATCCCCCCTTTGCAATGTTTTATCTACATAAGTGTTTTTAGTTTTTTCTCCATTTTCCAGTGTCTGTATTTGTTATTTGATGTGCTTTATCCAGTTGGTAATAAACTGTTTTCATTGCACAGACTGCCTATCATCTCTCAAGGTAGTCCAAAACTCTGAATGAAAAGAACAAAAACGAGAAGTAACATTTTGTTATTTGTGTCATCTTTAATTTTTTAAATGATATTCAATTTTCTGTAATACAACCTGCGTTGCAAATTATCTCAGCCTGGAATAGAATCCTGAACAAAGAAATAGCGTCCTCCTTGGAGCTAGCGCTCTTCTAGCCCATTGCCGCCGGGGAAAATGAACAAAAAATGGGGGAAATGCAGTACTCATTTTTTATATTTTTGTGAAATATCTCTGTCCATAGATGGCTCTTCTAGTCCTGATTTCACCTTTCCTTGAATTGGCGGGAAAAAACGTATTCTTACTAGTGCTATAAATATAGATTGTGTTACTTTTAACAGCAAATTAGGATAACATTAAATATTTTCGTAAATTGATGAAAAGGGTGAACGGGCGAGACAGGCAGTACTCGTAATTGGCTCATTGGATACTTAGTACAAGTGTAGCCATCTATGTGTAAAAACAATCGAACAAGTCGCCTCACAGTGGGCATGGCATGTACATACATGCCATCCCCGGCGACAATGGGCTAGTATATGGTTTACAGATAATACATTCCACACTCATTTATTAATGGAAATAATAGAAAAGCCCCTTACTTAATGCCAAATGAGTCTAATCGCCCTCCAAGAGCGTTCCCGTCATACCAGCATTTAGCCGAAATGCTCACACACACACACACACACACACACACACACACACACACACACACACACACACACACACACACACACACAGATATATATATATATATATATATATATATATATATATATATATATATACATATATATATATATATGTATGTATGTTTATACTCTCTATATATTTATATATATATATTCATATATATATTTATATACATATCTATGATATATATATATATATATATATATATATATATATATATATATATATATATATATATATATATATATATATATATACATATATATATATATATATATATATATATATATATATATATATATATATATATATATATATATATATATATATATGTATGTATGTATGTATGTTTATACTCTCTATATATTTATATATATATATTCATATATATATTTATATACATATCTATGATATATATATATATATATATATATATATATATATATATATATATATATATATATACATATACATATATATATATATATATATATATATATATATATATATATATATATATATATATATACATATACATATATATATATATATATATATATATATATATATATTTATATATATATGTATGTATGTATGTATGTTTATACTCTCTATATATTTATATATATATATTCATATATATATTTATATACATATCTATGATATATATATATATATATGTATGTATGTATGTATGTATGTATGTATGTATGTATGTATGTATGTATGTATGTATGTATATATATATATATATATATATATATATATATATATATATATATATATATGTATGTATTCATATATATATGTATGTATTCATATATATATATATATATATATATATATATATATATATATATATATACATACATGCATATTCATATATACATTTATATACATATC